CAACAAGTGTTAAACATCATCTTGGTTTAATTTCAACTTGTAAACTTTTTTCAAGTTTCAACAAGTATTAAACATAACATCGGTTTAACTTCAACTTGTAAACTTTTCTCAAGTTTCAACAAGTGTTAAACATAATCTCAGTTTAACTTCAACTTGTAAATTCTCTCAGAATTTCAACAAGTGTTTAACATCATTTCGGTTTAACTTCAACTTGTAAACTTTTCTCAAGTTTCAACAAGTGTTAAACATCATCTCGGTTTATGAAATTCCAACTCCTAAGCATCATTCTTCAGTCGTTTGCCCCCTAATGTGAACTTAAGTTCCACATGGGTTCTCATTAGGCACGTGACTTTGACCTTGATATTGCTCTGTGGGCAAGGGATCTGCCCCCTACATGGCTTCCACATACTCCTTTGTGGAAAAAACTCTTTAGCTTAGGCCAAGCTCTTCTCTTCTCAGACTTAATCATCTAAGTCGAGATCTTGTCTTCTGGGATCTGGGATTCCAAATCTGGAATCTGGGATCTGCTCACTTGGGCTAAGCTCTTGTCTTCTCGTGTCCAGTATTATCTCGGCTTTGCTTCGGCGAACCATTTCTCTTCTCTTGTTTGGACACCTTTATCCCCGTCGTGTCTTCCTCGGCTTTGGCATACTTTTCTATTCTGACCATCAACTCCTCCATGCTTTTCGGCAATGTCTTTGCCAGTGATTTTCGAAACAGGCAGTCATCCTTCAAGCCGTTTTTAAACAACATGACTGCCATCTTTTGGTTGCATCCTGGTATTCGGTTAAATACCTCAAAATACCTTTTGGCAAAGGCCCTACAGCTTTCATCCTCGCCGATCTTCAGGGCCATTAGGGCGTCTACCCTCAATGGTTGTCGCTTGTTTGTCACGAACCTGGCCATAAACATCTCAGCCAGGCCTTTCCAGGTTTTCACAATTCCTTTCGGCAACTTGTGAAACCAGTTCGATGCAATTTCTCGAAGGATGAGGGGAACACCTTGCAGAGCAACGGCTCGTTTCCGGTGTACAACGCCATCGAGTTCAGGTACAAGCCGACATGAAAGTTGGGGTCCGACTTACCATCGTATATCTGGAACTTTGGCATACTGAATCTCTTTGGGACCTCAACTTTGTCTAATTCTTCCGAGAACGGCATTCTCAGTTTGACCGGGGAGGTTACCTCGGTATCTTGTTGCTTCCTCTGTAGGTGATCTCCCAGATCCTCTTTGGTTCGTCCAGGGGCTCGGCTATCTCTGGATTTCAGCCTCTTTGGCGCACTACTTCTAGTGTCATCATGAGTCCTTTTGGACCTCCTTTCACTGGTCGTGTCGAAACAGAGTTCCTTCCCCTGAACATCCCGATGTTCTTTGGTGCAGGTTTCTTTTGTTCGACGTGCCTTCTGGGATTCTCCATGCCTGACCTCCTGCGAAGGTCGGTGAGAATGTCCCTTGGTCCCGCCATGCTGAGGGACTGCAGGAACCATTTTCTGCCCCCTTTTCTGGGCACCTTTCTTGGCCACTGAAATCGGCGTATCTTGTAATGAAAACGGTGGCTGCATGACGTTATTCTGCATCATAAAATTGATGACCGTTTGCAAGTCCGCCAATTTGTCCGCCATACCCTTTATCTCGTTGTCCCTCCGTAGGCATCTATCTTTCCATACCTGGAGGTCGTTCTCGTTATAATACTCGCTCCGGTCCGATTTCTTCGGTACGCTACCCTCCTGGCCGATGTCCTTTCCTCCGTGATTCTTATCACGAGTCTCTTTGTTGCAGTTGTCTTCTTCGACGTCAAGGTTAATATGTTTTCCACTCTCAGTAGGGGTGTCGTCCCCAACCTTCTCTTTTTGTTCGTCGTTGGCCATCTATTCTCCTTTCGTTCCTACAGACGGTGCCAAATTGTGTGAGTGATTTTCTGACCACACTGCCAACTTACTATTCAGCTGGAGAGCGCTGGCAGAATAGATGACACCTGTCTGACCTACAACAGAAAGAGAAGATTCCGGCGGTGGTTCGTCTACCCGGGGGCATTCCGACGATCAAGTTAGTATATTTCTCAAAGATAATCAATAGTGTTAAACTCACTGGACAAAGCATAAAAGACATACCTTAGACCCATGAGGGTGCTTTTCTTTTATAGCCAACATAATCCTAGTCCCAATAAAAGCCTAGTTCTAATAGACTTAGGATTACTACTAATCTTGGACTCTCAGTAGGATTTGGATAAACCCTCTAAGAGTCTTATCTTTACCCAAACTGAAGTCTTCTCTCATTCTAGGACTTTTATCCCTTATCCGCTTATCTCGGATTCTGGTATTGCCGCAAAATACCTCGATAGTGCCCCAAATATCTCGGCAAACATGATTTGCCCACGTAGCACCTCGGCTAACAACCTCGGCCACGTGGACTACCCAAAAAATATGTCCCCACAATTTTACAATTCTTTGGCAAAATAGACTGTTATTATTTAGGAATGTACTTGAAAGTAATTGAATTTAGGAGAAAGAGAATTTCTCTCATCAATCAATTAATCAGAAAAAAAAACTATTAAATATAACTTTTTTTCCTCGAACTTTGTTAAAAATTAAAAGATCTAAGTTTCCAATTTAGGTACAAGTGATAAACACATATCTCATGCCCTTACCCTTGCCTTATCTAGTGCACAAATATTGAATCGTTGATTCACAACATCAACGGTAAGTATAGGTTTATCACATGGCATTCACACCCCCTTCACTTAGCACCGATTTGCCCTAAACTATGTGAATTGGAAACATCTCAAAATGATCCACTTAACACCGAAAACCAGAAGCAGCAAATACTAAAAATCCGAAATAGAAGAAGAAAATGATCCACAAACTCTTCGACCTTCGTTAATAGTTTTTTTGTCTGAATTGTATGACTCACAATGGATCCAATTCACCTGGGAAAAAAAAAAAAAAAATTCCAATTGAGTTTATGAATGGAAAACTAAATCATGAACCAAATTGATGAATCGTGCATCAGTTCAATGAATCCAACGCATCGGACAATTCACTAAAGACTAGGTTCTATGTTTCATTTTTTTACTTGTCACCTCTCTTTCTCTCTCTCTCTCCCCCGGGTTTAATAAGGTTCAAAACCCACTTTCATATATAGTTGACATATTCTTTGTGTTTTGTTTGTCATCATTCTACATTCTAGTACATAGTTCATAGAGCCCTAGTTGTTGACTGAAGAAGGAGGTTGACAAAGTCCACTTTAAGGGCAACAAAAGGGATCTTTTGCATAAGCTATCAGCAAAAGAAGCAAATGTCATACATATTAGAGCACGTGATTGTCAATTTATACTTAAAATCAAGTGTTTTGATTGATTTAAGCCTAAAATACTATTTTTTTTTTCAATATATCATTATTATCTAATGTAGAAATGCATTTTAGTTAACTTCACCAAATGGTTTCGGTACATATTTATAAACGTAAAATCGAATTAATTCATGATTTCAATACGATTAACGAATTAGAAAAGAAGCATTTGGATTCACAATTCATACCCTGATTTGACAACATTGATTAATACTAAAATTGAAATCCAAAACTGTAACACAAATAACAAAAGGAACCCCTTTTCATCAAAGAAAATCAACCACTTCTGCCGATTCCATTTCACCACATTCACTCCTCTCTCAAAACCTCCATACAGAAGCTCAAATAATTCACCACTGCTTCCATTACACTGCAATCTTGAACTTATAAAAAGAGGAATCCATGCATCATAAAATATGACAAAATCTCACTTTACAACCAATAGTATCAATCCTAGCAAAATAACCTTAGAAATTTATCCAATCTTTCCTTATTATTGTCCAATAGTCATATTCAGATTTTCTACAACAATCTATGCACAGAGAAAAGGAGTAAGGAAAAATACTGAACCAAAACAATCCTATATGTCTCCACATATATGTATGAAAAGACTACAATATCCAAATATCTGTCATAGATTAACATTCTTTAAACACTATTCAATGAGTCAAGTTTAATAATATGCTCTATTCCTCTATCACTTCAAGAGATCTAGTAAGTTCCTCTAAAACTATCAAACCCATGTCATATAACACATTAATAAATAGCTAAATTAAAACCAACTTAGGTATAAACAAAGTACGATGACTGAATGATTGATTTCCCTCATATGAATCATACGCCTTGTGACAATAATGTGTTTGTCAGACAATGCCCAAAAAGATTTGTGGCTCTTATCAAGCAAGCAGGCCTTCCCAATGACAGGCTTTCAACTAACACATTGAGTGCTTCTGGCTGGTATTTATGTAAATAAAAATTTAACCACCCATTTAGATAGTGTGCTATGTTGGATTTAAATTGATGCGTCTTATTACTACAACAAAATACATCTTTGGCCATCAAAATTAGCGATTAAAAAAAATTTAGTCGCCAAAAGTTGTAGAAATGGCGACCAAATTTTTTTTTAGTCGGCAAAAATAAAATATTTAGCTACTAATTTTTTTTAGTCGGGGTATATTGGTTATTGGCGACTAAAAAAAATTTAGTCACCAAAAATACCAGAATTGGCATCCAAAAAAAAATTTAGTCGCCGTATATTGAGTTTTGACTACTAAAATGATTTAGTCGCCAATTGGAAAATAAAAAATTATTTTTTACCTTTGGCGACCAAAATTTTTGTCGCCAAAAGTTTATTTTCAGCAACGAAAAATAATTTCGGTCGCCGTATATTGAGCTTTGGCTACTAAAACAATTTAGTCGCCGATTGGAAAATAAAAAATTATTTTTTACCTTTGGCGACCAAAATTTTAGTCGCCAAAAGTTTATTTTCAGCGACGAAAAATAATTTTGGTCGCCAAAGAACTAAAATTATTAGAGGGAGATATTTCAAATATCTTGGAGGGACTTATGAAATTGTTTCAGCGACAAAAAAACTTTGGTCGCTAATGGTATAATATATATATATATATATATTTGGTTTTCAAACCACAAACCAGCGCTTCTTCTCTCTCTCTCTCCAGCGTTTCTCTCTCTGCCTCTCCCTCTCCGTCTCTCTCTCCGCTGCTCCTCTCCCTTCCCTCTCTCACCGTCGCTGGCCACCGTCAGTCCCCACCGTCGCATGTCGCCACCGTCATTGCCGTCGCCATCGCCATCGCCGAAATCACCACCAACACTGTCGCAAATCACAGGTTTGTCTCTGTCGCGCTCGGTCCTCTCCCTCGTCGATCTGGGTCTCTCTCTCGGTCGAGCCATCTCTCTGGTTCCCTCTCTCTCAGTTTCTCTCTCTCTCTCTCTCTCTCTCTCTCTCTCTCTCTCTCTTTCTCCCTTCCCCTATTCCCCATTTCTCACACTTCATCTAGGGTTTATATGATTTTTTTAGTTTAATTTTGTGTTGATTTCGTTAATGGGTTTGGTTAAAGTGTTTGATTTCTATGAAATTATGATATTCTTCATGTCGAAAATGGGTTTGACTTTCAAATGCCATATTTAAGGTGTTAATGTTAGTTCAGTTATTATTAAATCATTCATTTAGGCCTTTGTACAAGAATAAAAAGTATAGTTAAAAGTTTGAAGTGTGAAAAAATTATCATTTTGTCAATAGATTTTATCATAATTTCTTTGAAGATGAATAAAAATTGAGAAATTAGTGATCTTACTTGCTCGTATTGAATCAATTCACCCAAATTTGAAGCAGTTTTGAACATGAGTTGAGAACTGTTTTTGTTCTTTATCTATTGATGCAACCTGAGGGTCTGATAGATTATTGGTAGAATGGCCTCAAATTCAAATACTTCTGTGACTCATACTTTCAGCTAAATTCATACTTTCAGCTAGAAAAGCCTTGTGGAAATGGAATCAACAGAAATCTAATTAACTGATTCAAGTGAGTTCTGTATGACCACAGTGGTGATGAATATTTAGTGCCTATCCTAGTAAAGATAGTTTTGGATGAAAACCATTTAATTTTTGACAACTCAAATAAACTAGAGTCTGTCTAAGATGGTGTTTGACGTTTCATGTTCTCTACTGGTAGAAGGTAGGCTGCTTGTCTTGATTTTCTAGATCTTAGGCATAACTATACTTACTGATTGATGCCTCCCTGTGTCAGTGAGCCACTGTAAAGGACACCTCAATTTGACTTAGAAATTGTTAATGGCCAAATGTTGTAAAAAAATCACATGCTTGCCCCATAAAATCCTGGAATTACCCAAGAGTTTGTCAAGGACAAAGAGAGACACCATAAATAAAATCAAAAGAGTTTAGATTCCATAAATAAAATCACAAGTTTAGATTTCATGTTACTTTTGATACTTGAATTATTTATTTTGGTTATATTTTGGTCCAGTATTCTCACTACTCGGCATGCAGTTTCTTGTGTACATGTGAGTGAGACTGCATCTTCATATAAACTCAATTTCCGTTCTTTTGCTTTTTTTGCTTAGCTTTTTGAAAGAGTGCTTTTAAATTGTTGCAGCTTGGTGATCATTGGATGCATACTCATTACAGGAACATTTATTTTGTGTCATATTTCTTCTTTTACACAAGTAAGTTCCATCATGGCATTCTGAATATAAAAAATCCTCATTCACATATTTGGTTTCCTTTCACATGTTTTGTCTGTTTGACTTGATTGAAGAAGTCTCATACACAAATCCTGACGGTAGCAATCTATTGACCTCTTTGCCATTGCTTTATTTATGTTGGTCAAGGTGAAGAGCAATGATAGAAACATATGTTGAAAATGATTCTTGTCATGGGAAATAGTCCACAATTAGCCTTTTTCTTGTATGATTTACCATGGAAAATTGTTCTCATTAGCATAAATGTTGTTGCTTATGGACATTTTTCAATATGAATTTGTTTTGTTAAAGAAAGAGATTATAGAGGTCATGGTAATTCAGTATAAACGTATTTCTGAAATGGCAATTGCTAATTGAGATAATACTCTTTACATCAAACATCATTTGAATAAAAAGAAGATGAATTAAATTGCAAAGTTGATGTATTCTATACTAATTTCTTATATCCATTTCTTAACATCAGTGGATGCTAGCTTCACTTATCCTTAATGACTAGGACCTAACATTCCCTTTGCCAACATGCAGGACTGCTGATCATTTTCATGGAAATGGCAGGGCAGCACAAACTTGGAGGCCATTCAGATTATTAAGAAGCCTGGAGGATCACTAAAGGATTCATTTTTAGGTGAGGGGTGGGTATCTTAACTTGTGAAATTCATTTGATGTGATTTAGCTAGCATTGCTTTCATACCTAATATAGAGGGGGTCTTGCTTTTACCAGACTTTTGGCTGATGAGTTCCTTCCTGTATGTTTATGCTTTCTTTGACATTTCTAAAACTCTTACTCCTTGTATCAATCTTTGACATGTCTACAACTGCATAGACAACTTTACCCAAATCTCTTTTTGGTTGCTGAGAAAAGCTAGGGATTATTTTGAATGTTAAAATTTGCATATTTTGAGGTTTCAGCACATAAAAACGTCTGCTCAACTCAGTCTCACTTTGGCTTTGTTGAGTTGGTTATCTTCTGCTACGGCTACTAGTTAATATGACTTTTATACCTCAAAAAGAAAATGAAAAAAATCCAGAGATTAGAGGAAAGTTGGGTGTCGGTCTTTTCCTTACAATCTCTATTTTCTTGTTGTTTGCTTTTGTTTCCTTCCATTTTTTTTTTTGTCTTTGTACAGACTTGGGTGCTCAATACACTATGATGGGTGTAGGCAGAAAATGAAGAAACTTCTTCAGAGGATTGAAGGTTCTCACTTGACCATGAATTACTTAGCTAACTCTCCCTTCTCTGTTTTCTAGTTTATTTTTCCCCATTACTAGTTCTCTCTATTTTTCAGCTCTTTAACTGTGTTTGAAGAGTGGTGTTTTGGTTAATTTCTCCACTGACATTCCTTACTCTGGACCTCAACGATGTGGGTTTTGTGTGAAATGGATAAATTTTAACAATGTGCTATGGTTAGGGCATTCAAATTCTTTTGCTTAATTATTAGATTTTGATATGATATAAGATAGTAGTGCAGTTCCCTTTTAAGCAACAAATTGGAAAGATCAAAAGCATGTTGCAGCCAATCACTCACTAATTGAAGTCTAAAATTTGACCTTTGGTGTTTATTTTATTTTTGGAAAGAGCAACAAAAAGTCATACTTTCAGGAACCTTGGATTTCTTTTTGCACATTATATTGTCATGGCTTCCAGTTTTGTTTTGTTTGGTTTGTTTTTGTTTTTTGTTTTTTTGTGTGTGTGTTCCTTCTATTCGGATTTATATATGATTATAGATTTATATTGATTTGATATGCATGTGTTTTTGGTTTTTTTTGCTAGCATAGGTATACACCTTATATACCATATGCCAATAAGAGGCAACTTATTCAGTTTGCATTGCTTCTAATTCATTAACAGCTTTGTCAATTTCTGAAAATTCTTAATTATACTATCAATCATAATGATAATCTTGATTTGGCAGCTTTCTCAACACTTTGCTTAAAGTAGCAATGGTTTGTTTTGTTTTGTTTTGTTTTGTTTTGTTTTGTTTTTAACTAATAAGTGCCACAATTTGACATGACAATAGATGAACCTCGCCATCATGCAGATTAATGACTCTTTTTAGATATATGCTCTGTTGATGTTATTATCTTAATATTGTTTGTGATCCGTTTTTGGTCTTTAATTTTAGTCTGTTTGTTATGTGATTTTGGTGGAATGGTTCTTAGTGTATGGTTGGTTTGTTGGTGCTAAATTTTTTTTTGAATTTCCCTTGTAAATGTTTTTATTGTGAATATATTGTCATTTTGCTGTCAATTGTTGGCTATTATAGTTTCATTAGTGGCACTGATAAGCTTGGCACAATTAAAGTTGTTTGATTGCCGGATTTTGTTAAGAGGTTGGAATAGAAATAAAATTTAATAAAGAATAGAAACTGATTTTACAATCATTTGTGGTGTTGCAAATATTTGTAGAATTTTTTAGCTGGATATGTTCAAAAATTTAGGCATTGATTCATTACGCTCCTGTGATTTGGAGCTGAGTAGTAGTTGCTTCTAAACATACTCTTGCTCCCTCTCTCTCAAGGACTCAGCATCACTATACCCCTCATCGCTCACTGTTTGGCACCATTTCACGTTTCCTTGACCTATTTTGTGAGATAATTTGAATCATGTCTTCTGTTAGGATATATTTTAATAAGAATATGATTTAAAGAAACTGCAGTTGATGATTGACGATTTAAAGTGAATTTATTTTTACAGATAAGTGCTAATGGTTAATTTTTTTTTTTATATATTTTTTACAGATTGCTTTTGCGTGGGCTATTGTGGATATTTATTTTTGTGTACGAAGAGCATTTGTTCTGTATACGGAAGACATTTATTTTTCTACAATTCTCTGTTTTGGAAATCCAGTGTTTTTATATGTAATATATAATTTAGATGGATTATACTTGGTTGGTGTGATTTTATATGATATTTGGAATATGATGTTAAAGTTTTTGGATCATAGATAATGAAATGGGTATTATTGGTAATGGATTTAGATGATAATTGATAGATGTATTATTCTGTATATATACAAGTTATAGGTTGCATTGATAATGGAATGCATATAAGTTAGAAATTAATAAAAAATATTCAATTTGTGCAATTTGAAAAAAAAAACAGTAAATTTTGTAAATTTAACATAATTATATTAAGAATTTTAAATTTTAATTCATATAATACTTAATTATTTTTTTTATCA